ATGCCTGCGGCTTATATGCAATTCAGCTAAAGAGAATGGTATTATTTGTAATTAAAAAAAAATTCGGACATTGGTGGACAGGTTTTGGGACAACTGAAAGACAAGGCTTTAAAGAGGGCAGGCATAACTGAAGAGGAGGTTTTGCAGTCGATCGAAGAAAGAATGTTAGCACGGAAGAATAAAGAGTTTGAGAAAAGTGATCAAATAAGGAGTGATCTTGTAGCTAAGGGAATTGCTTTAATGGATCTCGGAAAAGACACAGTTTGGAGGCCTTGTGTGCCTGCTCAACAAGAACAGAAGGGCGTGCCAGCTCAGCACGAGAATTTACCTGCCCCAGCTGCAAAGGGCCCACCGCCAGTCTTATCGGCCGATAAATGAAAGTATGCAGTATAACTTATTACCTAACCTGTGAACTTGTTAAGTCTATATATAACTCTTCATGATTAGATATACATGCGACTTTTGAGTTTCGCTCTTTAACTTGTTTGACCATTGGTATACAAATTTGTTTCATGGCTTGGACCCGTTTGGGAAGCTGGTGAAGAAGTTAAAATTTTTTTTCTTCTTTTTTTTTTTTTTTTTTTGTGTGTTTTAACAAATTTATCTGTTTGACTGGCTAGAGCTTGAATATCATAAGTTTTGCATTTTATTTTTTTGTTTAATTAAAATAAATAAAATAAAATATTTTAAGGAAAATAAAATATTTAAATAATACTATATAATAAAATTATATTACACAATTATAATAAAAAAACCAACATGTAATTGTATAATTTAAATAAATAATAGATAACAAAATGAGTTGAAATGAAATACTACTTTTATTCGCGATTATTATTTTAGATTTTTTTTTTTTTATGTGAGTTTCAAGTAATAGATACTTTATTTTTTTTGACATTCAATTATTTTTTCTAATTATTTTTATATGGATAATCTATTCATTATTACTTATAATAAAATAAGATAATGCAAAAATTACTTTTTTTTTTGTATTTACGTTTTATAAAAAGTGACAATTTATTTTTAGTTATTTTTAGTTTATTATAAGTTAATGTTTAATAAAATTAATTTAACATAATTTACATTATCCTTTTAATTTAATTTAGTTTATTCGTATTACATACGTACTATATATTAAAGATTAACCAAATTAACGGCAATTGTGAGCTATCTGATGGTTTGGGTGCCTACTGAGTAGGATGTTTTATATTCTAGTTCGAGTGCAATACTTTTATGGGGAATTAATGAAAAATTAACACTGGGAAAATAATTAAAAAAAAAAAAATTGTGTATCAGTTACTTAAATATAATGGAGCCTCAGGCATTTGACATTTTTTTAAAATATAGGAAAAACTGTGCATATTTAAATATGTATTCCTTTATAAAATTCACCTAATGACTGGACCCACTTTCTTTAGCTTCTAAATTAGGAGAAATGATACTTAAGTGGCTTTCCATATCAAACTAATTGACACTATAAAGAGAAAGCATATCCAGAAGTCGTCAATAATAAACTGCTACAATTTTTAGGCAGAGCAGTGGGAACGGGTTTTGCTATGTTGTCATTTTCTTTTGTAAAGTTGGAAAACCACAATCAATATGATATTTCGAATGTGGTCCCACAACTCTAGGGTATATCAAAAGTAATTTCATTAAAATTTAAATAATCATTGGTAATTCCGTAATTTTCAAAATTAGCAACATGAGGACAATTTTAACAGAAATTTCGAATTTTGATGGAAATTTAGGGTGTGTTTGATTTAATAGAAGGAATATGAGTGTGTTAAAAAAGAATAATTAAATATTTAATTATATTTCTAATATTTTATGTATATCACACTATATCTATATTCGTTTATCAAATATTTACTAGTTGCCTTTGCGATCCAGAATTTCAATATGAAAAGTACGACAAATATAATTTTCCCTTGAGATTACGAAAATGAAAAATCTGACTAGCTATAGAAAAACCACTCACACCTCTTTGCCTAGCCGCTTAAATCAAGCCTAATTTCAGGTCGAGCCGAGCTCAGCTTACGGCGCGGCTGGGGCCAGGCTCAGGTGTAAATCCAGCCCAAACACCTCATCATCAAACCCAGGCCCATTATCAAATCTCGTATATCTACTCAACGAAGGCCCATCAAATCTCCCACTATGGGCCATAACCTCAGCGCTCTGCCGAGATGGGCCAGGCTCCCCTACGCCACGCACCACGTTGACTGGCCCTCCGGCGCGTGGGACGCACACCCACGACTGCGACTGCACGAGCAGGTGGGCCGGCGGCGAGAAGGCGGAGGCCATGGTGCTGCGGCCGTACGCTGCAGCGGCCTGCAGCTTGGCCCGCCTGAGTTGCTGGCGCTCTTTCTTGTGCGCGTTCTGGTGGCCGCCGAGGGCCTGCGAGTTGGCGAATTCGCGGCGGCAGTAAGGGCACTCGTACCTCCGGCCGGCTGAGTGCGGCGGAGCTCCGGTGGGTCCGGCGGGATCTTCGTTATCCTCGGTGACGTGGAAGCCGAAGAGCTTTAAGCGCGTTGCGGTGTATGGTTTGATTGGGTGCTGATCGATCCTCTCCATTAATATGCAAAAACGTAGTGTTTGTGTGTGTGTGTGTGTGTGAATTTTGGAAAATTTGAGATAGTTATTTATTGCGTTTGTATGTGATTTGGGAGTATTTATATAATGACTAATGGGTTTTTTAACATTATTGTTGAGAGAGAGAGAGATTCGGACATCCCAAGAAGAAGTATACCTGCTTGTCTTTTGGTACTATTTATCTATCTTCAAAATATAAAACTATTTTGTTTAACAAACTGGATTAATTAATCTTGTTAAAGCTTAAACTCAACTTAAAAATTGAGATATTTTTGTAATTTTTTTTATAGATCATGTCATTAATATTGATAGATGAGTTGAACTTGAACTTATTTATTAGCTGATTTGAGATTCGATTTGATAGAGTTCGAGTATCAGGAAATAGAGGTTGACTTGATTTATTTATACATACCACTAACCACAACTTAGGTTGTCTGGTTAGAGTTTCAAATTGTTTTGACGAAATTGAATATGTATAATATGAAATGTCGTACTTTTATCTTTCTTATTCGTACGCTTCCCTACATCAATATCTTCATGTCAAGGATAATACAATCTAGTTCACACCCTGTAGAGTAAAAGTTATGACAGGGTGAAGCAGGAATATTTGAATTTTGAAGTGCAAGAGTCAATTTCTTTTTGGTATATTTGTCCACATTGAGTGAAGGAATGTTGTGCATGTGAACAATTTAGGGTTGTTGAACTATCTAATGATTGAGGGGCTGCGTCTGTTTTCCTTTGTTCTTTCTTGTTAACAAGTGAGAAATAATTCAATGACAACATCATAAACATAATAATCATCCATCATTATTTTATAAATAGTTGGCTGGACCGAAAGTTTGGGGTTTCTTCCAAACATAATACGCTGATATGATAGCTCATCAAATTTAGTAATTTAATTTGCTAACATAGTAAAAAATATATATTTCGTAGGTTAGTGTACAAAAAAAAAAAAAAAATTTTTTTTTTTTTTTCCGGAACGATAGAAAATCTCATATCATCAAAATAAAAGTCATACAATCAAGAGCCGAAAACATGAGAGTACCACACGCAGGTGGCCTAGACAACAAGGAATGAACCAAGAGACTATTACATAGCTATTGGGATAAAGCATTTGACAGGAATGAGCCTTTACCCCAAGAAACACTACATAACAGCAGCCCAAACAAAATAACCAACTACTGACCTAAGTCCTAGCCGGTATCCCTACAGCAAACAAAAGAAAAAAAATAAAACGAGCAGGAATGAATGATACAAAGAACCATCAGGAGTCTTGGTTGTTCCTACTGTCCAAATAATCCTTCCAATCTCTCATTGCAAGTTGAACAATAAGATACACCGGCCTCCGAAGCTTCTAAAAAATCCAAAGGTTACGCGACTTCCAAAGCCACCAGAGGATATACGTGGATAGCTGGATACGGGCTTCGGAAACATCGCTTTTGTCTAATTGACACACCTGCCACCACCAATCTTTAAACGATTCATTCTGATGAGGACCCACCCAACTCACCGGAGCAAGTTTCCATACCTGTTGAGCAAAGCTACACTGAAAAAATAAGTGCTCTGTTGACTCATTTGCATCACCACACATGCAGCATTTGGTATCCACAGTTATTCCCCTCCTTTGCAAATTCACTGTGACAGGTAAAGATCCATTACAACACTTCCAAACAAAATGCTTAATTTTTCCCATCACTTTCATTTTCCAGCTTCTGTCTCTAACTCGGCTGTCCCTAGCTAAGTCTTTCCTCCCTTGAGCAATTCCTAAACCTAGGAATTTTTCAGTAATGAGCTTTGTATAAGTGGACTTAACTGTGAACATGCCCTTATTGTGGAGTGTCCAGATCCATTTGTCTTGTACATTAGGGTTGATAGAAGTGATGTTCAACACAGCCTCACTCACTTGGTTAGGAAAAGTATTTCGATCCTTTGTTTCATCCCATCTGTCCCCTTCCACAGTCATCAGATCTCTAACCCAAATCATATTTCTGTCAATACCTGGTAGCAGCTCCACTTGCCTGCCTAATTGATTAGGCACCCAAAACTGATCCCAAATTTTGGTGCTTTTCCCATTTCCAATCTCCTTCCTCATCCATTGGCTACATTTATTCAATACCTTCAGCCAACTGCACCATAACCAAGAGGAATTCTGCTTCTGCTGGGCATCAAAAATAGAAGTGTTAGGGAAATATTTGCATTTAAGAACTCTGCTCACCAGATTATCTGGTTCTGAAACTAGTTTCCATAGTTGCTTAGCAATGAGTGCTTCATTAACTAGTTGAATGTCTTGAAACCCTAATCCCCCATGCTTTTTGGCCAATGTCAAGGAATTCCAATCCCTCCAATGAAATCCATTCTGACCCTCTGTCCCTTTATTCCACCAGAATTGAGCAGTTAGGCTAGCAACCTCCTTACATAAACCAGCAGGTAGGATAAAAACTGACATAGAGAAAACCGGCAATGCATTAATGACAGCTCTGATAAGCACTTCTTTACCTGCAGGTGATAGACATTTATTTCTCCAGCTATTCAGTCTGCTCTTAACCTTAGACAACACATACTGAAAGGCTTCTTTCTTAGCCTTGCCTATGCCAAGAGGGAGTCCCAAGTATCTTGTGGAGGATTGCACATTGATGCCATTCATTAGATAACAAACTCTGCTCTGAACCGCAGCTGATGTATTTTTACTGAAAAACACAGATGACTTTGCTAAATTTACATGTTGGCCTGTGAAGTTAGCATAGGACTGCAGTATTTTCAACAGCTTATTGACTTGATGAACCTCTGCCTTACAGAACACAAGTATATCATCTGCAAACATAAGATGTGTTAATTCTGGACCTCCTTTAGACAGTCTTAACCCCTTGAGACATCCTTTCTCAGCTTCCACTTTAATTTTAGCTGTGAGCAATTCAGACACAATGATGAACAGGTAAGGGGATATGGGATCCCCCTGCCTAATTCCCCTTGAAGCAGTAATATAACCCTGTGCTTTACCATTCAAATTGAAAGAGTAAGTAGGAAACTGAATGCAAGAGAGAACCCATTTGATGAACATAGAGTGAAATCCCATCCTCACCATAGTTAACTGAATTGACTTCCATTCTAAGCAGTCATAGGCTTTAACAACATCCAATTTCAGAGCCATAAAAGAATTCTTCCCACTTCTATGTCTATTCAAAAAATGAAAAACTTCATGCCCCAGAACCACATTATCAAATAAGCATCTACCAGACAAGAATGCAGTCTGATTCTCAGATATACACATGTGGAGACAGTGTTTCAGCCTTAAAGCCAAGATCTTAGATATCACTTTGTAAAAAACAGCACATAAGCTTATAGGCCTGAATTGAGTGATGGAAGTAGGGTTGATACATTTGGGAATGAAAGTGATTAGGGTATGTTTCCAGTACCTTAGCATTTGACAGGATTCAAAGAAACTTCTGACAGCAGTGCATATATCTCTCTTCACTATTGGCCAGAAGTGCTGGAAAAACAATCCAGTCATTCCATCCTCACCAGGTGCTTTCTCAGGATGGATGCTGAAAATAGCCTTCTTGATCTCTGCTTCCTCAACTGGTGCAATGAGCAGCCTATTCATCTCTTCTGTGATGGATTGATTCACATTAGGTAATAGTTCATGACCATCTTTAGAGCCTCTAGACTGGAACAAATCCCCATAATACTCAGTGACAGCCTTTTGGATTTCAACAGGATTATCAGTCAGTCTATCCCCAGCCACCAGAATTCTCTCAACTGCATTCATTTTCCTTCTCTGAACTGTTAATGCATGGAAAAACTTCGTGTTGTTGTCCCCTTCTTTCAGCCACAAGGATCGAGCTTTTTGTTGCCAGAAAGCTTCTTCAGAACAATTGGCCTCATTCAACTCTTTCTGAATCCTCTTCCAAACTTCCCAATTCCTATCACCCCCTTCTTGCCTCATGTCCTCAAGTTGTAAAGAAAGCCTTTCAATTCTTACAGCATTCTCTGATTTGAAATGCTTGCTCCAGATAAGCAAGGCCTCTCTGGCCTTCTTTATTTTTTCCTTGATTACAAACATGGGTGTCCCCGATGTTGGTGAGTCCCAAGCTGTTTGCACCACTCCTTGGGCTTCCTGTCTTCGAACCCATCTTTTATCAAATTTAAATCTTTTCTTTTGCCTGTTCTGAGTGCCCTTAGTATCAATGATCAACATACAATGGTCTGAGGCACTCCTAAACCAGCTGGTAACACTTGTGCTAGGGAACTGAGAAAGCCAGCCGACTGATACAAACATCCTATCTAGCAGTTCTTCAATAAACTCTCCCCCTGCTCTGTTGTTTGCCCAAGTATACTGTAAACCCCTTGTAGGTATCTCCTGGACCCCCATTTTGTCCAAAAATTCATTAAAACCCCTGTAGCTCCCATGTGATCTCTGTCTTCCACCCTTTTTGTCTTCTGGTCCTCTAAGGTCATTCCAGTCTCCTGCCATCCACCACTGATCACCCCACCTATCCTTTTCCAACAGCAACTGCTCCCATTGGCCTTCTCTTTCAAATTTAACAGGGCTCAAATACACAAAAATGGCCCATTCAGAACTTAGCTGGTTATTTATTTTATACTGGACAGCTATATAGAAATAAGAATTATACATATGCAGGATCTCCACCTCCTCATTCCATAACAGCAAAAGCCCACCACTGCTACCCCTTGAATCCACACAAAAGAACCTATCCCTATAGCCAAGCTTAATACAAACTGATCTGGAAAAATTATTTGGTTTTCTAACTTCTGATAGAAACAAAAAATTGGGGTGATGGATCCTTATTGATTCCTTGATCTGGGGAACTGTAGAGGGCCCACCCAGACCTCTACAGTTCCACACCTGAGCTATCATTGGCACCTTGAGGGCCCTTCAAGGCTGGCCCTCACTTCCTGTTGTTGAGCTGTCTTAGATTTTTTATCAAAAGGCTCACTTGGTAATTTTTCTGATTCCTGCTCCATTGCTTCTGTTTCTGGTTCCCTGGTTCTTTTGACAGGAAGAGAAGAAGTCCCCATAGCAGAGTCAGTGCCATTAGCAAGTATCCTTCTTGGCTTCATTGTATTCCTCTTCCAAGTTTTTTTCCCTGCCAATGTCTCAGGTAATATTCTTTTATGGACCATTGTCACTTCTTCAACAACCTGCGGTTCTGCTTGAATAGTCTTAAGGTCCAATTGAGGATCAGAATTGGTAATCGGTAGAATCCTGTTCCCTATAGAGTTGATAGCAGACTGGTCAAAAATCACAATACCTTTTTCCATATTTTCTTTAGATGATCCCTCCCCCAAATTGGATGATTTGGATTCAGGTCTATCCACACTCTTCCCTTTATGGCCCGCACTATAACTTTCCTCATGTGTGCCCCCTATAATCCTTTCATTCTCAGCAACTGCCATAAGAGTTTTATTTGGAGGGGAAGGAGATCCTCCATCTTGGCCTGAAGAAGGGTCTGATTTAGCCCAGCTCAATCCTTGCAATCCCTCTGAAGCAGCCAACCACTCACCATATTGCCCCTTTTTCAAACCGTTGTGTTCAACATCGTCCACCTTCTGAGCACAAGCTTTCTCAATATGCCCTATCTTACCGCAATAAAAACATAAATTAACTAGTCTTTCATATTTGAAAGTGACTGTGACCAACTGAGAACCCAGTCTGATAGAAGCGCATCGAGGAAGTGCCTCTCGCAGGTTCACCGTCACCAGCAATTTTAATATTCTGCCCCCTTGCCCTCCTGTGTTAGTCACCATGACATTCGAAGTAGAATTGAGAACCTGGCCAATTTTAAGTCCAACCTCTTGGGTCAGCCAGTGGTATGGTACATGGTGTACTTGCACCCACATTCTGAGATTCTGAAAACATTCATTCGTACTTGTCAATCCTTCCTTCCAACTTTTGAGAATCAAATATTGATTCTCGAAGATCCAGTTCGGTCCTGCTTCAATTTTCTTCAAATCCTCCTTACTTTCAAAAATAAATTGAAAGAAATTCGGCCCCAGTTCACGCACCTCCATTGGTTTGTTCAGCTTCCAAATGTGACCCATAGCCCTTTTAATCCCAATTAAATGCGCCTTTTTGTCCCCAATTACCTTCCCAAACAGACTTTTGTGGCACTCTTCGATTCCAGATTGAACATCATCCACCCCTAGATCAATAACCTTATTTTCCACTTCAGAAAATGAGAAAACCCTCAATCGTTGCTCCACTTCATCAGTCAGATTACTTGAATTAATCCCCGCCATGAAAAACCCCGCTTGCTAATGACCGTCCTTGTCAAGAATAGGAAAGAATAAAAATGAGAGACGTGAAGGAGTGAGATCAATAGATGATTGAAAGCCCTCCAAAGAGGGAAAAACTCTCCAATGAGAGAAAAGCTCTCCTAGAGAGAGAATTGTTCGTGACGATAAAAAAAAAAAATAATAATTAATGTTGGTAATTGGTATACAAACTTGTTAACTGAACAATTTTTTATTTTATTTTAGAATTTGGCCGAATATTTCTGAAAATAGGCCGATTTAATAGAAAAAAATGAAATTAAACCCCAAAAGTACACTTAGGTAGTACTGTTAAATTAAACGAGCTTGATTCGGCTCGACTCATTGAGGCTCGAGTTCAAGGCCTTAATGAGCCGAGTCGAGCTCATTTAAAGATCATTTGGTTAACGCTCGGCTCGATAAGGCTCGAAAATAGATATTTTATATAATTTTTATAGTTCGGCTCGTTAAAGATCGAGATCGGCTCGTTAAGGCTCGAATTTGATTTCTGGTTCGTTTATTTAACGAGTTGAGTTGAGCTCGAGCTCGGCTCGACTCGTTTACAGCCCTACACTTAGGGAACTAGGGCAAAAAAAGTTTTTTTGTCCCGTAACTGACCCCCTTTTCGGTTTTGGTCCCGAAAAATTTATGTTTTTGGAAATAGTCTTGTAAGTGAAAAAAAAATTCGTTTTATGGTTCTCTGACTGTATAGCCGGTTACCGTGACCGGCTAGCCTACATTCAAATTCATTTAATGTTTTATTTTTTTCCATCTCCTTTTAAAAAAGAGGGTGTAACTTTTTTTTTTCCAACACAATAGACATTATAGATAAAAACACATAATTATAGACTAGAAAACAGCTAAACAAACAAATAAATCAGTTGAATATAGTTGGAGGACATACTACTGGTAGCCTATAAATCAATAAACAGAACACACAAAAAACTAAGGGGGCGTTTGTTTATGGAATAATTTGTTCAAAATGAGTTAATTTAGTTAACCGTAGTTAATTTTAAAAAAGGTTGTATGGTTAGTTGCTAGTGGAATTTTAAGAATATATTAAAATAATATTTAAAATAAAATGATTAAAATTGATTTGATGTAAAAGTAGGAGATAAATGATTGAAAATGATAGGTAGTTAAATTATGTGAGTGGATGAATAGTGAATTAAAGTTGATGTGATGTGTAAGAATGATTGGTTTGTATTATTTAATTATATGAATAATATTAAAGATAGTGGGGTTGAGTTAAAGTTGAGTTAGATTTTGAGTATGAATTGAATGAGAATGAAATAATTTGTAAACAAGCATGCCCTAAAAGCCCTCACAAGGGAAGAATAAAGACGAGAGGAGAATAAGAAAACAAAAAGACACAAAAACTACCGTAAAAAAAAAACCAAATAACAAGGATAAGGCCCTCCACACTAGCCGAAAAGCCACTCCAAACTACCACTACTCGACCAAAACCCAAGGCGAACACCTAAAAAGGCACGGCCCATGGCCTAAACAAACAGAATCCAGAAACTCCCCTAAATCCTCCCGAATGGTCACCACCGGGTTAGCAATTGGAGACCCGCAACCAAACCCCACCCCATCCACCACCCCAACAACCCAACGCGACCGATGACTGCAACCTAACAGTCGCCCTCACCAGAGTAACCCGCCCACTCAACACCATGGAGCTTGGATATATATTTTTCAGGTGCCGGCGACCGATTTACCTTAGTCGGAGAGGTGGAGTAAGGGCGACGGGGGTCGACGGCGGCTAGTGTACAACGGAGCTTCCAGATGAGGAGGATGTCGGAGACGGCGAGACGGAATCGAGGCAGCTCACGGCGGTCGTTGGCTGCGTCTAAGTCGACGGTCAGGCATGTGCCGGCGGTAGTCGCAGGAGATGGATTGTCTGTGTTCGACGGAGCTTTTTCCGTTGTTCGACAGGAGCTTTGATGGCGGCTGGCGGTGGGTTTATGGAGGACGGCGGCGGCGGCATCTGGTGCGAGGCGACAGCTGCGTCTGGCAGGACGTGCGACGGTAGCGGCAGCGTGACGGGAGGCGGCGCAAAGACGGCGGTGGCCCGGTTACCGGCGACGAACCTGTGCTGTGTGTGTGTTTGTGTGTGGACGAGTGTGTGTGTGTGTGGTTTGTGTTATGTGGGTGTGACCAGGGGCGGACGCAGACTTTAAGGACAACTGAGGCACAAGCTACGGTCAACGCCGGATATCAACGGTCAAATCAATATTTAACCAATTAAAAAAATAAAAGGATTAAAACCGAGTGTCGGGCCCCAACAGGGTAATAAAGTTGACACTCGGGCTCAAAAAGATTAAATCTTGACCAGACACCTTGTTTTTTATTTAATAGTTAGAATTGACTCTCACGTTCTCATTTTAATAATAGAGACACATTTGATCCATTCCATATATAGTATATACATTTATGTATAATATTTGTTTTTTTTTTTTATGTATTTTGGGAGAGAAAAGGAAATAACCAAGAAGTTGAATATAGCAAAAGCATAAATTTCATTTTTATTTTTTATATTACAATAACTTTGCATAATAATTAATAATATGTATTTTTTATGTCAATATAATAATACATTTATACATATAACATATATATACTATATTACTAAAAAAGTTCTACATGGGCCCGTGCCCCTACAGGCCCCTATGTAAGTCCGCCCCTGGGTGTGACGTGGCGTGTGCTGTGTGGGTGTATATGAGAGAGAAAGCTGATGTGGCATTGAGTGTGTAAAAATACAACATTATCTTTAATGATGGTATAATTTTTGCTTTTTTTAGCCATTAGATCGGATGATCTAATGACTACGATTCATTCTTATTTCAAATTTTCCACAACAATTAAACACACTTGATTGAGAAATTGACAAGAATAAATCTTATTGGATGGAAATATAAATTTTACAATAATTTCATTATGAAAAAAAATCACAGTAAAAAATAATTAAAAAAACCCACTTTTAGATTTTTGTATATTTCATATATTAACTAATAAATATTTTATATTAATTTTGTGAACAAAAAATATCTCCCTTAAACAATTATGATAAAGTGTTGACCAATTATTAATTATATCGATTTACATAGCTATATGTCTCACATTCGAAAATATATCAACGCTTAACAATCATATTTAATTAATATACCAATACCATTCACTTTTAAGGTTATTTACCAAAAAAAAAAAAAAAAAATGTAATGATTCGACTAGACGCACTAATTAAAGATAAGTAAATTTTATTAGTAATAAAATCTCTTACTGGGATGTTTAACTATAATTGTGGCCCAGATTATGACTAAATATTTTATTATGGCTTAGAATTAATTTTTACAATTTTCATGTTAAGTATGTAAAAAAATTTTGATAGGAAATCGATACCATTTCTAGTAAATATAATCTTTTTATAAAAATATAGATTTATATATTCTATTTATGTTATTATCATCATCAACTGAAAGAAAATACAATTATCATCATCACTTCACACCATCCTCCGAATCCCAAGGCGCCACATTCTTGAACGTAATATTGTCGTAGCTGACAGAGAATCCCCAATCATCGGCCTTCCAATATATGTTGGCCCATGTCTTATCACTGGTCGGCACGTACGCTTGGAAATACGAAATTGCCAAGTCGTAAATGCTGAATGCGTAATACACGCTATTGACTTCCTCCACTTTGATCTCATAGTTTTGGCCTCGGCTTAGGGTGGCCGAGCCATCAAAAGAGCCGGCTTTAACGCGAAGATTTATGGGATCTGAATGGACGGAGGCCACCGCATTCGTAAAGTGAATCGTCGTTGGTGAGCTGGCGACGGTTGAGGCAGAAAGATAAGCGGCGGTTACTAAGAGCACAAGGTGAAACAAGTATTTGGAGGCCATTTTTTCTATATATAATTTTGAATATATGAACAAGTATATGTAATGGTTTTGGAATGGTATTTATAGGGAGAGATTGATAAAAATGAATTGGAGATTAGATGTTAATCTTCAATATGATTGACATGAATTTTGCATACATGTTAGCTTGAATAGGATATTAGGATAGGAAATAACGGTAATCAGATAAAAGATACAATTTATCTATATTAATTTATTCAAAATGTTATGTGAAATTTAAATTGTGGAAAATTACGTAAAATGTGTCTATTTAAAATTAGTACACAACTTGTACGGTGCACGTAATTAACAATAAATTATTTTATATTCATCTAAAAATATGTGTCATTTTAAAATATTTATTCAGATATTCATTTGGACTACTATATGATTCTATAAAATAATTATTTTGGTAAATTTTATCATATATTTAAAAATCTATATGAATAATAAGTATATTTATAAAATTTATATTGTTTCATTAGTTAAAATGAATTTATTTTGTATAAATCATCCAAATAAAAAATTTAAGTAGTTCAGCAATTTATTAAATTATAAATAATTGACTATTCCATTTATGTCTAAGGTAAAATTGACCGTAAAATATGAATAATTATTTATTTAACTTTTAAATTTGAAATCTAAATTTTGAATCCTCTCCATGTCACGCCAAAGCTGTTTCCGGGCAAGCCTGAAAGCATGTTAACCAAATGGACTCAAATGAAGTCATAGACAAAATGAAACAATTGAAAATAAGAGTCCGGGTATGATTTTTACATATCTATATGTCCCTTAAACGATTATGATAAAATATTGACCAATTATTAATTTTATAGATTTACATAGCTATATGTGTCACATTAGAAAAATATAAATTTAGTTAATAATCATATTTAATTAATATACCATTACCATGCACTTTTAAGGTTATTTACCAAAAAAAAGTTGAATAATTTGACCAGACAAACTAAGTAGGATAAGTAAATTTTATTAGTAACCAGACCAAAAAAATAAAAAAATAAAATAAAATTATATGAATGATTTGATCAGACAAACTAATTTAGGATAAGCAAATTTTATTAGTAATTAAATCTCTTACTGGGATGTTTAACTATAATTGTGGCCCGAATTATGGCTAATTAATATTTTATTTCGGTTTGAACAAAAATATTTTTGTAGGAAAACCATATCATTCTGAATCCCAAGGCGCCACATTCTTGAAACTAATATTGTCGTAGCTGATAGAGATTCCCCAATCATCGGCCTTCCAATAAATGTTGGCTTGTCCCTTATCACTAGTCGGCTCGTAAGCATGGAAATCAGAAATCGTAAGGCCGTAAATGGCGAATGCGTAATACACGCTATTGACTTCCTCCACCTTGATCTCATAGTTTTGGCCTCGGCTTAGGGTGGCCGAGCCCTCGAAAGAACCGGCTTTAACGCGAAGATTTATGGTATCTGAAATGGCGGCGGCCACCTCATTCGTAAAGTGGATTGTCGTTGGTGAGCTGGCGGCAGACGAGGCGAAAAGATAAGCGGCGGTTGCTAAGAACATGAGGTGAAACAAGTATTTGGAGGCCATTTTTCCTATATATAATTTTGAATATATAAATAAGTATATGTAATGGTTTTGGAGAAGTTGATGAAGGGAGGACAATGAATTTTGCATATATGTTAACTTAAATAGGATAGTAGGACAAGAAAGAACCGTAATCAGATAAAAATTACATATTGATATTGATCTTAAATAGAATTTGATCTCAAAGAGATTTTGCTACTCTGATTACGTTTTAAATATGACAAGATTTAAGTGAGTGTTGTTATAAATTTTTTGTTCTTAATATTATTTATTTATGAAAATTTTAAATCATATAAGTTTATTAGTTGTATACAATTCAATTATTCTGTTCATTTTTAAATTTCTTTTTCAAATTATTTATTCCAAATTGACATATTCTCCTACTTATATTTGTGAAAAAACTCTCGCAATTCAACAAATTTCAAGTAAATTAGCTATAACTATTGCCTATTGTTCTCTATTTTTTCAAAATAATAATTTACAATAATTTAAACATTATGTGTATCCAACTAGTCGAGCATTAATACTCGTGTGTACATGGGTGTCAATGAAAAAATTATTTATTTTAAAAATATAAAAGAAAAGTTTTTATTTCAAATTTTAAATGATTCTTAAAATGTTACATAATTAATTAATTATATTTAGAGTGCCACTTGTAACTCGTACAACTTTCTTTTTCATATTACAATTTTTTTAATTCATATTATATAAAGGATTTGATAGATAAATATTTTTATTATTTTTCATAATATTGATAGAAAAAATAAATTTTATTATAAAGGTAAATATATATTATCTTATATGTGCAATATGTTGTCAAATCGAATTTATTCAAAAAATAATTAATTTGTTATATAGTATATGAAAATTTGTTAATAAAATCTGAAAGTTATTAAGTTGAGTCGAATATAAGATTATAAACAAAACACTCACAAGTAGACAAATAAATTTGGAAATTTTTGCATATTTTATATAGAGAATCAAAACATATTTCATTCCAAAATAAGTAAAACAGTCCACGTATGATTTTTTGGAGAAAAAATCTTATAATTAAATTATGATAGGTTAATTTTGGAAACTTGTAATTTCGAGAAATTCTGTGTATTATTGAATATCTTTCTTAAAGTTTGTCTAATTTGTAATGTTTGGATTTTGGTTGGATTATCACATCGCTCCTATCCTATCTAAACCATTGGGCCTAAAATCTATACTTATATTAAAAGGTATACTATTTACCAGATTTAGTATAAAGAAAAGTCAACAATATTTATTGCATTACTATTTCCGTATTATACAATCTATACGTATATAAAAGGAGACTCTATTTATTACATTTACTATCCAGAAAAGTCAATTGCATTAAATGTTATTACTATTTTGGTATTATAATATTTTATTTATTTAATTGATTTATTTATTTATTTTATTTTAAAAAGGTAAGTATAATAAAAAGATTTTAATAATAAAAAAATCAAATACCAAACAAAAATGTACACTTTGACTTATTTGATTATATTTGGTATTTGATTATACCAAATTTATTCCGATTTAGTATATACATTAAATACTTACTAAAGTATTTATTTGTTTTATTTGTCAAAGTTAAGTATAGATTTGTTTATATTATCAAATCATAAAAAATATTAAATCCATATTGTAAAAAAAAATCATATAATTTTATAACAATTCTACTACACTATTTAACAATATTTCTTTTTTATCATATAATAAAATAATAATTAAGTATTATATGGTGAACAACAATAAGTAAAACTGTTACTTTCTCTTATATCAAGGGATAAATTTATATGCTAAAATTAAATTTTTATTAGTATAAATGTTTTAGTGAGATAATATATTAATTATTTTACAAGCTAGCCCTAACATGCTCATATTTAATGTTTTAAAATATGTAGAAAAAAAACTTATAATAACTCTATTGTTTTTTAGACTTAAACGTTGATTAAAAGAGGTAAAAATTCTTAATTTTTTAGACTTACACGTTGATTAACACCATAGATTGAGAGTTTATATTTAGTAAAATTCTTAATTGTAATAAAAAATAATTTTTGCTACATTTTAGAATATCTTTAAATTCATTATAAAAAAAAAAAAAAAAAACTACAATGAGAAAAGCAAGTCAACTATATACCAATGTGTTGTACTCTTCAAATCACATTCACAATTTGACTATAAGGAAAGGAAACTCATTGATTAAAATATTATTTTGTCAGTAGTCTTAATGTACAAGAGACTTTAAGACTCCACTTGAATATTATAAAACTTTTATTGAACATTGTACAATTTTCTTCGTATTATAAACTTTTATTGAATATTTCATCTTATAATATAATATTCTGCAAACAAATATATCTCGTGCTTTGCACGGGTCCCGTACTATATATATCCCGTACATTTTTCTTTGTCTATGTATATAATTATAAGCCTGGATAAATAGCCTTAAAATTGTGTACCCCGTGCATCGCACATGCTCTGTACTAGTTGTAACAAATAGATAGACTTTATACTAATGAGGTCCTACCTAAAATAAATTAGATGAATCCATACTAAGGGTCATTGTTGAAGCCATAAACAAAAGATTGACCACCCTGACTAGAGACGGTCCACGCTCCACATAAAGAGACCTTTTAGTGTGAGGTTTTAATGGAGTTATTAGGAAAATTAAAGCACAATATTGGATACTTTTGTCAAAACGAAAAAAAAAAAAATCTTAAATAAAATTGTTAGCAAAGGAAAATGAAAAAAATAAAAATGAAATTTTCTATGAGTTTTTGGCGAAAGCTTGTTGAATTAGACTCAACTTTAATTAATTTATTAACTAATAAAAATTTTACATAAAAAATAAGTAGAAAAAACGAGTTACTAGATCAACGGTAAGAGATTAACATATCATTTACAGTGGTCGTGTCTTAATATGTTTAGGATAGGTAAGTGAGCAATTCACGAGTCAATGAACTAGTCTGTAGTTGGTCACTACAAAAAAATTGTCATATTTCATCGAAAAATCTTACGATAGTATATTCTAATGAAATTTAAATGGATATTTCATGGTATAGCTTCCAATGGAATGCTTCCAACAAAAATTCCAAAGAAAATATTGGAATGACTTTTTCATTGGAGTTTTAGATTGAATTTGATGATTCAAACAACTATTTTTTAACGGTTTTTTACAGTAAAAATTTCCGCTGCATGCAATATGCAATTTCTATTTAAGTTTTTTTTTTCAACCATATTTCAACAGTTGAAAAAATTCACCGTTGGAATCGTCAAAATCCAATAAAAATTTTAATGAAAAACTCATTTTAACGAAATATTTTTGTTGGAATTTACTGAAAAATTCTAACGAAAAAAACAACATTAAAATACCCATAGAAATTGCCGTTGGAATTCCACTTAAATATTTTTCCATTAGAATTTCATTAATTTCTTGTAGTATGTCAAACTTTGTTTGTGTCAAGATTGCAATAACAATATAATAAAATAATACGATTAGTTATGTTGTGAATTTTTAAATGGTTCAATTTAAGAAATAACAGAAGATAATTAGTTTCATAAAATTTAGCCATATGGCTGACAAATTAATTTCTAGTGTCTCAGAAGTTTGCCATTTCTTTTTTAATAATAATTATTATTATTCTAAAATAAACAATATCTAACATTAATAATGGATATACACTACAAAAAAATTGTTATATTCCAACTGAAAATCCTATGGTAATATATTCCAATGGGAATTCCAACGGATATTCCAATGGTATAGCTTCCGTTGGAATCATTCCAACAGAAATTCCACGATAATATTTCGTTGGAAAGTATTTTTCATTGGAATTTTAGATGGAATTTGATTATTCCAACGGCTTTTGACCGTAGGAATTTTTTCGTTAGAATTTTTATTTCCACCACCGTTGGAATCGTCAAAATCCAATGGAAATTCCAATGGAAAACTCATTCCAACGGAATACTTTTATTGGAATTTTCTTTGAAATTATTTCAACGGAAATAATAGCATTGAAATATCCATTGGAATTGCCGTTGAGATTCTATTGAAATATATTTTCGCTGAAATTTCATCATTTTCTTTTAGTGATACTAATTAATAATCTAACATATCTATATCTATATATATATAATAAGAATTACTATTTACCATAAATAGTAACTAGAAATTTTAGGACAACATTAATTGCTTACTATTTTTGAATTTTTTTTCTTTTTTTTTTTTTAACATTAATCCTTATCATCATTTGACATAAGCGGCTTAAGAAAGTGGAATTTAATTTGAAAAATTCAAATCAAATCGTATCCTAAAAATTTATATTTTTGTTAAATCCCTCATAATACAATCCCATATCAATACCATTTTTGAATTTATTTTCTTTAAATATACAACAGAAACAGTATCCACGTACACAATTTATGCCTTCCTAAATTTAAGTAATTTGTTGGTCCCCAAATTAGTGAAGATTCCTTGCATGAAGGATTTATACAATTTTGAAAAAATTGGGAACTTGGTATAAACCCATTACATACGATATTGGTTTTGGAATTTGAATTTTCAAATTTCTTCCATATACATACGCAACTATTCACTTCATAAAGTTAATTAATTTGTTGAATCAAATACGATACTGTGGTATTGGTTTTAGAATTTGAATTTTCAAATTTCTTCCATATACATACACAACTATTCACTTCCTAAAATTAATTAATTTGTTGAATCAAATACAATATTGTGGTCCGCCAAAGTCAGTGGAGATATTTTGCATAATGACTTTTTACAATTTAAAAATATTAGGACTCTTGGTATAAACATTTTAGATAGCATTTTTTCACAAAATAAATTTGAGATGGATTAGGAATTTCAAATCAATTCAAATTCATCTCTGATTACAAGTTAAAATTTTCCAAATTTTATTTTAAGAATAAAATTTATGGTTTCAAACTCGAGATAATGAGTTTGTAAATAGATAAATATTTTTTTTTTATTTTCTAAAATATTTATTAAAAAATGATAATGACAATAAATTTTATGATAAAATAATAAATTAAGTATTATACCAGAATATGTAAAACTATTATTTTTTATATCAAAGAATAAATATATATACTAAAATCAAATTTATATTAGTATCAACGTTTTAGCGAGATAATATATTAATTAATTTACATACTAGAGCTAATAGGTTGAGGTTTAACGTTATGACTAAAAAAATAACGATGATCAAAAGAGTGTAAAATAGATGATCTAACTCTATTTTTTTAAACCTAATGGACAGACCATCTGGAAACTCAGACCCGTGCATCGCACGGGCTACGTACTAGTGTGTATCAAAATGAATTCATGATTGGATTAAACAAAATCACGGACACTGTTTATGTTAGTTTTATTTTTTTCCACCCTCTTTTCGAGCATGGCCAAAAAATCACGGCTTGATAGGGTTAGGCAGCATGCATGATAGGCATAGCCTAAAATTTGATTGCCGTGTCCATTATTTAGTCAAGTTCTTGAACATAGAATTGAACAAGCGGGGTATGAAATTAAGTTAAGAACTGTGCTTCAAATTAACATCTTGTTTAAGAAACTTCGAATAATCAGTTAACCTGCCACGAGGGTTTAATTCCTAATTTAATAATACATGTTTAATTGCTTTTAAGAGATATTTTTTTGTTAACATACTACGGATTTGGGTTTATGAATTTGACCCGCTACATGATTTTTCAATTCCTTGTTTCTGGTGACATAAAAAATGGTCACCAAAACGGAATAACCAAACCGTTAGGATGTATTATAAGGTTGTGTAATGATTAGATTAATATTTTTTTTTAATAAAAATATATATTTATTCTATGAAATGTTATACTTTTATTTATATTGTATTTTAAAGTATGACATTTAAATTTGAAAATGTATAAATTTATTGAAAAAATGTGGTCGTGTAACAATCAGGCAGTCTCTGTATGATGGATAATAAAATTTACACACCCCTAAATATGTTAACTACTCCTAAATTTACACCACCACACAACAACTAATTGAAAATGTTGAATTCCTTAATTATGTCTCATGTGACCAGTTTACAAGTTTATTCGCTTAATCTTTTTATTCAATCTTTTATCTTATTTATAAGAACGGAACTCATCAATTCGTTAGCATTTAGGGTTCAATCTTTTTATTCAATCTTTTATTCGCTTAATCTTTTTATTCAATCTTTTATCTTTTTATCCAACAATATTTCAACATTTGACTATTAATAAACCAGGCTATATTAGGCATCGCCAGACTTGCGTAAAGCACAGCAAAGACGCATTTTAGGCACTCTCTGCACCTTCAAGAGATTATTAGGTCAATGATAATAATAGTAACAGTACTAGGAAACTTAGGAAGGCCTAATAAATTGAATTTTTATATATAATGATCTCAAATAGTTCATATGCCCCACAAGAAAATCACAATTCTTCTTGAAAAAATAAATTAGAATGTTGCATTTAATGAGTAATTTAGTGTAGGCTATTTAATACATTCGTAGGTAATTATATGTTTAATACTACCTCCTATCCTTCTATTTATTTCCCCTGGAATATGAATTTATTGACATGGTACAATTTTAATTGCAATATCACTTAAAACTTTTCATATACCCATGGCGGGGATAATTAATTATTTATGTACGCCGGATTGACACAATAGAAATATATTGTGTCTGATGGCGGGGATAATTAAATCATGTTGATTTTTAGTGCTTCGTAATCTCGCGTGCGATCTCTTTTAATTAGTAATGTTATTCACCAATATTTTGTGCTTAGAATTAGTCCATATCTAATAGTACTTTTAATTTTATAAAATAATTGACTAGCTTAATATTACAAATATATTTAAGAAATTAAACTTTTATGCTTGTTATCCAATTTTTATATATGAGTATCAAATTGAGCATCTCTTAGCTAAATTCGATTTGACATTCATATTGCATATATAAATAAATATGCGTATTTACTTTTATAATAAAAATAAAATTAGCTATTAATACTAATTGGAATATAATAAAATTTTATCAACTAATAAATTTTTATAAATAATTCATTATATAACTTGAATTAAAAAATTATTATAATATATAGGAGTGGTAAATCAAGTAACGAGTGTCATTTAAAATATAAATAATTATTTAATTCTAAAGTTTTATTTGAAACTCAAAATAAAAACTTATATTTTTATATTTTTTTAAATATAAGTATAATGTTTTTATTGTCACCAGTGTTATAAATGAGTTTTGTACAATATTAATCATGTGCGAAATCGAGAATTTTAAACTCAACTTCAAATTTTAGAAATTAAAATCTATCATTGTATAAAAAGAATAACATTTTTACAAATTTAAAAACATTTTCCCGCCAAAATCATTAAATATATCCTACATATAGTAATTGTTGAACAAATCTGAATAGACAAAAAAATCGGCTCATCAATTGTGTAAAGATTTGTTTCTCTTTTTCCTATCTTTTAGTTTATCAAAACCGTTGTTTGACAATAAATATTTGTTTTTCTTTTTCCTATTTTTAGTATAAATCTACACGAGTTTATCTCTACGTCTCACGTGTTTAAAAAATCTCATCCCTTATCTATACAGATTTGAAAAAATAAAATAAAAATCAATTCATAATTACTACTAGAAATTCATAATTTTTAAAAAGAAAAAATAAAATAAAATAGAAACCAATTCATAATTACTACTATAAATCCATTATCTACTTTAAGAAGTTAATTTTCATCGGTCTACTTACTAATATTTTTACAAATATTATAAACTAACCATACATAAAAGTATAATAATAATTTTGAAATGGTGTGTAATCAAATTTTTTTATTCTCTTATACAAAATAATTTTACATTGTTTGACCCGAATCTTTAATTTATAATTATTAAGTATTGTTTATCCTCTCTTTAATTTATAATTATTTTTTTTCTTCCTCTTTTTAAATAGGATCAATAGTAGTTTCTACTTCCGCCATTGAGTGACTCAAACTATTTATAATATTGTTAATTTAATATTATTCCCGTGCATACACGGGGTATACACTAGTTATTTGAAAACGGCTCCAGAAATACTGTAGTCAACCATGCTTTGCAAAATCTTCTTGTGTTACAGCCAGAATATAATTTATAAGCCTCTCCCTATATTTGATTTTGTTTTACTGTAAATACAGTATAGTGATAATCCTCCCACTCCGCATCTGATTTTCTACTTGAAAAACCTAAAATACAATCAAGTAAACAAAAAAAATCTAATAAATTGCGCCCAACTTTTGATATCTACGTACTCATATTAACATGAGAATCTGACTTGAGCACCATACAATTTTCCAAAAATCTTAATGAATCATAAAGTTGCATTATAGTAACTCTATCATAATGGTTGATTTTCAATACGAAAATATAGAAAAATAAAATTATGCACACATACATCAATCTCCATTACCTAATTGTAGATCTTGTGAACCAAAATTTTCCTTTGACCCATATCAAGCCTCAATGCATTTTAATTTCGAGTAAAACCTTATTAGACCCTAACATTATGCTTGAATCAAATTGATAAAAAGTCTTTTGAATCATAGGATTTCGGATTTTTGTGCTATAAATTAGGGGCGAAACTAGGAAATTAACTGAGAAAGGGGCAAAAGACATGGCAAAAAATTTGAGGGTGCAAAAAATAATTTAAGAGAAAGGCAAATTAAATTTTTTAATTATAATAATAAAAAAAATAAAATTTGAGGGGGGCAAAAATTATAATAATAAAGTCTATTATACTATTAGTTTCAATATTCCACCAAACGTGACAGGCAATCGAGGCATAAATTATTAAAGGCAGAAGCACGTAAAAGAAAAAGNCGCCCTCCGTCGCCGGAATGAAGACCCAGCACCCACTCCCGGCCGCCGGAAAGCCGATCTTCGCCTCATTCCCCCTCATCGGCCTCCTCTCCCACGCGTTCATCTTCGTCTCCGGCCTAACTCTAGGCATCGTCCTCTGCTTCCACTACAAGACCTTCTCCTTCAGCCTCCACGTCACCAACGGCCAGTTCTCAATCTTCACATCGCAGCCGCTCGGCGGCCACCATCCGCCGCCTCCGCCGCGGACGCCGACGCCGGAGTCGAGCCGGACGGCGGCGGGAGGCGGCGAGGTGACGTGGACGGACTTTCTGGAGCCGCCGGGGGTGATGCACGGGATGACCGACCGGGAGCTGACGTGGCGGGCGTCGATGGCGCCGAAGGCGGCGGGCTTCCGGCCGGGCCGGAGGGCCAAGGTGGCGTTCATGTTCCTGACACGTGGGCCCGTGGTTCTGGCGCCCCTTTGGGAGATGTTTTTCAAGGGGTACCGTGGGCTGTATTCGGTGTACGTTCACTCGGATCCAAAGTACAACGGGTCGGAGCCTGAAGGGTCCGTCTTTCACGGCAGGAGGATTGATAGTAAGGTCAGTAAAGTCTTTTTGTCAATAATATAATTTTTTGGGTTTAATTTTATTATTATTACTATTCCTCAACTTGGTTTTTTATTTTCTTTAGCTTTTCTGGGACTTTCTATATCGGGGAATAAATAAATGAATTGGAAAAGTTTTGTTTTATTTTCCGCGCATTTCATTGATTTGACTGGATTTGTCTTATTGAACTGAGAACATTCAGATAATAGTTTTCAGGAATTGGTTACTTTTAGGTTGACTAGTTTTTCGAGTGTTAAAAATATGTAAGTTTGTTATTGACTTATTGGTAAAGCTTCCTTTGTTTGTAGTATCATTGGGAATAATTTATAGATGCCAGGCACATATAAAAGTTAGCAATTTTTATTTTTTTAAAAGTCAGGTTGTATATATGTATCCAAATTTAAGTGTGTGTTAATCAATATAAACTTATTAACAATTTAATTAGTTTGTAAGTTTTATCTCACGTGTTTATTTACGTGGCATTTAAAAAAAAAAAGTATTTTTAAGTTTACTAAACAATTTTATTATATCATTCTAGTCTATCACCCTATCACAAATCCAGTCTCGCTCTCTTTTCCACGGTGAACACAGATTAATTTTTCGTCTAAGTCTATATTTTGTAAACTTAGTTGATAAGCTAACATATGGTTTTTAAGTGAATTTTGAACTTATAACTGATTACTTATGACTTATGACAAAAAAGTTAGCTTATATGATAAAAGTATCTGGTAAAATTAGCTTATGAACTAGCTTAAATAAAAAAATCAATTAGTTTAGTTGGTAAAAAAAAAACTCGTCCTACCAAACACAACGTGCATACCTCACACAGGTGGCTAGAACTTAACAAGCTACAAAACATTTCCAATCTAACTGTCAGCTAGAAATTAACTTAAGAGCTATTAGTTAGTTTATCAAGCATATAACCTATGAATTAAATTTATAAAACATACCACTTTAACCACAAAAATTAATTTTCAAATTTTTATTGGACCTATTTTTTCACCTATTTAGTTTTAAATAAATAAACATAGTTTAACAACCACCCGAATAGTATATCTAGG